AGAAATGGGTTGTTGGACTGTGGCTGTATGGAAGCAGACTACAGGTGTTGGATACTACAGGACTACCGCTATTTCTATGTCTATCCACAAAGGCCATCCATAATATGTTATGTGTTTCTCATCTCCAACCTCAATCACCAAGAGAGTATGGGCAAAAATATAGAGAGTACAAATAAAATGTTGTTGACTGATTGTGTAAATTATTTTTAATAATATGTTAAAACTGAGCTCCAGCAGAGGCCTTTTATGTTAATAAGTTGTGCTGAAAACATCTTTGCCGCGACTGCTTCTGGGTGCCATTATTATTGCGGTTACAACTGTCGCGTGGTGTGTAGTTGATGCATTAAAGTGTTTGACCACCAAGAATATTCGTCACTGGTCTTTGTCTCATACTCGTGAAGAATACTTTGGAATAGTCCTTAATTTAATTTATCTAGACCGAGTCACTTTGGTTTGGAACTAAATGTTTGCTGGCGCAGAGTTGTTGTTTTTAATGAGTGTGCACATCAGGACATCAATGTCCACAGCAATGTGGAAAACTGAAATGTAAAAACATTCTATTATGTCCGTCTGAAAGAAAATTCAAGGTGGGCGGGAGATGGGAAACACAGAACCTAATCTAATATCTAATCAAAGTCTAATCCAGTGTTTACTTAACATTACTGACAAAAACATCCTGTTTGTTTGTTTGTTAAATGCCACAACCTTCAAGCTAAATGACAGCTGTCTGTAAGTCTGGACCAGATAATCCACGGATCAACACGATCAGCATAGATCTACACAACTGGGATACGATGACATGTGCCAGCCAAGTCAGCCAGCCTGCCCACCCAGCCCTATAGTTGCATCTTATAACAAATGGATTGCTGAACACCAATCTGGATCTTCTCTGGTAAAGAACTCTCTTGAGTAAGTGGATGAAACAAACTATGGTTTTATGTCACTTTTAGCAACATTCCCGGCATATCACAGTAGGAGACACCAGAAACAGGCTTGACATATTGTATCCATTTGGGGAATCGACTCATCTGCGTGATGAGCAAACCACTAGGCTACCCCACCACCCTGTGAACCTTCTTGAACCTAACAGGCACCTTGGGTGCTATACTCCCCAGGAAGCTGAGAATTAAAATTGAATGCAAACTGATCAAATGAGAAGGGAAAAAGCACCTCTGTACAGCCTATCTGGAACTTTTACATAAATTGATTCTTTTCCTTAATATTGTTGTTGCAACTGATTTCAGTCTGAAATCTAAAAGTTGCCAATATTCTGATCCTCAAGGTTGTTAGCACCATACCCAAGCCCTTGGTTCCATCACAATTGTGAAATGGTTTTAAAAAAGTTTGAAATGTGTTACCTGAGTCAGTTTTGCCTTTCCTCCATTTCAGCAACCACATCATATATTTTTTATAAATGAAATTCTAGAACAGACTCACACTCCTTTCCCATTCCACTCAAAGAGAGTGTATTGATCTGTTCCACTAACAGACAGATTGGCATGAGGGGTGCAGCAACCAATAGCACTGTAGTACATGGCTATTCCCCCGACGACAGATAAAAACATATCAATGACAAACGGAAATGGCAATAGATGATAACAATGTCACTAATTTCAACCAAGTGGTGTCATAGAGAGATATATTGATGTCTATAAATCCATCCCTTGTATAAACTTTCATGCACAGTGCCAATTAGTAGACCTTGTCATCACTTCGATCCAGAGCTGGCGCACACCAAGAGTTGAAGTGACCCTGAAATGGATGAACCGAAGAGACCCTGCTAAGGATGCACTGGAGAGATCCGGCCAAAGATGCAATGTGAAGAGACCCTGCCAAGGATGCAGTAAAAAGACCTTGCCTTGGTTGCAGTGTGAAGTGACCCTGACAAGGATGCACTGAAAAGACCTTGCCTTGGATGCAGTGTGAAGAGACCCTGCCAAGGATGCAGTAAAGAGACCTTGCCTTGGTTGCAGTGTGAAGTGACCCTGAAATAGATGAACTGAAGAGACCCTGCCAAGGATGCAGTGTGAAGAGACCCTGTCAAAGATGCAGTAAGAGACCTTGCCTTGGATGCAGTGTGAAGAGACCCTGACAAGGATGCACTGAAGAGACCTTGCCTTGGATGCAGTGCGAAGAGACCCTGCCAAGGATGCACTGACGATACCCTGCCAAGGATGCACTGAAGAGACCCTGCCAAGGATGTAGTAAAGAAACCCTGCCATGGATGCACTGACGAGACCCTGCCAAGGATGTAGTGAGAGACTCTATAAGGATGTAGTAAAGAAACCTTGCCAAGGATGCACTGGAGACCCTGCCAAGGATGTAGTAAAGAAACCCTGCCAAGGGTGCACTGAAAAGACCATGCCATGGATGTAGTGAAGAGACCCTGCCTTGGTTGTATGGATTTACCGTGTGCACATTTGGATTTGAAAGAACCACAAACATGCTGACCTTGATTTGAGAAAGACTGACACAAAAACACCCCATGAGCAATTGTAAAGAGTAGGCGAATGAATGAATTACTATGAAACATGAACTTTGTATCTCTTCAGTGAACAGCACACAATTGGCAAGTACTGCAAACAATTCTAGGTCTCCGACATACACAGTTACCTCTTTATGTATCACCAATAGAACATTACAGAAATACCCCATACAAAACTTCAAAAATCATTTCTGAAAACTAAGTGGAATGTGAAACAGGAAACTTGCGAGATCAAACAAACCTGATCAATTACAGCCACAAATACAAGATGTCAGAATCCATCAGTTACAACCTCCTCCAAGGTAGCTGAGCCATGTGACCTAATATTGAAATTCAACAAGAGTCATCAGAAGATGACATATCCCCCCGGCCCCTACATATCTCAAAGAACAAATCATCTGACAGTTACTTAAAGTCCAGCTTAATTTTTTTTTAGACTAAGTCCAAATCGTTTCCATGGAAATCATGAGTAATATATATGACAAAAGTCTATAAATAGCAAAAGGCACCGTTTCAAAACTTGCCTAATATATCTGCCAAGTTCAGTTGAAAGATATTGAACGCTTTTCAAGTTGTGCTCCGGAAATGAAGCTCACCCTTCCCTTTTGGGACTAAGTCCGAATCGTTTCTATGGAAACCGGGAAAAATAAATATGCCAAAATTCTGCCAAATAGCAAAAGGCACCACTTTGGCATCTGCCTCACATATCTGCCAAGTTTTGCTGAAAGATATAAAGACGTTTTCGAGTTGTGCTCCGGAAACGAAACCCACCCCTCCCTTTTGAGACTAAGTCTGAATCGTTTCCATGGAAACTGAAAAAAATATAAATGCCAAAAATCTGTAAATAGCAAAAGGCACCACTTCAAGATCTGTCTCATATATCTGCCAAGTTTTGCTGAGAGATATTAAGAAGTTTTTGAGCTGTGCTCCGGAAACAAAGCCCACCCCTCCCTTTTGGGACTAAGTCCGAAACGTTTCCATGGAAACCAAGAATAATAAAAATGCCAAAAATCTGTAAATAGCAAAAGGCACTACTTTAGCTTATGTTTGATATATCTACCAAGTCTTGAAGAAAGATATTAAACGGTTTTCGAGTTGTGCTCCAGAAGCGAAGGTCACCCCTCTTTTGAGACCAAGTTCAAATCGTTTCCATGGAAACCAAGAAAAAAAAAATACCAAAAATCTGTAAATAGCAAAAGGCACCACTTTAGATTCCGTTTGATATATCTACCAAGTTTTGTTGAAATATATTGAACTGTTTTTTAATTATGCTCCGGAAACAAAATGATTACGGACGGACAGACGAGGCGTCGACTATATCCCCCTGCAATACATGCCGGGGGATAAAAAGGGTAGGGGAACATGAAAGTTATCTTGATGGTTAGCAAGTCACAAACAACACGAGTCTGTTAGTGCTGGTTTTCCAAAGATGTTGTCATCTACAATACTGAATCCCACGTCCCATACCTGAAAGCCATGACCTGGCAATGTTAGATACCTGTTCTCCAAGGTCCTAAGACAATAAGCCAAGATGTTTCAATAATTTCATACCTGCTATCCATGCCGTAAGAAATTCAGCACTTCTGAATGATTTCATACCTGTATTCCAAGTCCTATAATTGAAAGCCAACACATATTTCAATGATTTTATACCTGTTCTCCATGCCAAAAGATAAAAAGCCAAGACTTTTGAGTTATTTCATATCTGTTCTCCATGTCCTAAGGCATAAAACAAAGGTGTTTCTATGATTTCATACCTGTACTCCGTGTCCTACAAATGGAAATGAGGATGTTTCAAAACTTTCATGTCTGTTCCTGCCCTAAGAAAACAAGACTTTTCAATGGCTGCATACCTGTTTTAAATGTCCTAAGACAAAAAACCCAAGATGTTTCAATGATTCATACCTTTTCACAATGCCATAAGAAGTTCAGCACTAGTTAATGATTTCATACCAGTCCTACAATTCGAAATGAGGATGTTTCAATGATTTTACCTTTTCACCATGCCACAAGAAATTCAGCACTAATTAATGATTTCATACCTGTACTCCGTGTCCTACAATTGGAAACGAGGATGTTTCAATGATTTCATATCTGTTCCTGCCCTATGAAAAACTAGACGTTTCAATGATTTCACACCTGTTTTTCATGTGTTAAGATATGTATTTTCTCTAAACATTAACATTTGGACAAAACCGAGTGTACATCAATCTCAATACCAAACATTCAACATAGTTTGACCATATGTGCAATCAGGTGAAACAACAGCAAAAACAGCAGGGTAACAACGTCATAAGCCAATCACGTTGAAAGAAGCGTGGAGGGATAGATATATGACCTTGAACAATATTCAAACAACCGGAAAAAGCACAACGATAAAACCGCCATATAGATGCTGAGACCTTGAAAATGACAGACGAACAGACACACAGGTAGACTGCAGCCACAAAAGGACAAAACTGGTGAAAAAGAGCGAGTGAGTGAATGAGGGAGAGAAATAAAGAAAGAAACCAACCTGTATTAGTAAAGAAAGAGGGACTGAAGGGAGGGATACGTGGTTAATCTTCTTCAGTCATTGTTCCGTACTGGAACTGTCCTGCCTTACAGTCTGGGGAACCTACTAGCTCCACCTGGGAGAAGACAAGGGAAACATTACAAGGGAGGTCACTCTAATACTCAGCTAAAACATGCTGTAGCAATGTACTACATCAACAAGGTCATATCAAGGTCATGATCAGACAAGATAAGAAAGGAAATACATTTCACAGTACAGAATACAAGGGTTGAACAAGACATCTACAACAGTGGGGTTTACAATAGCTTCTCCTTCTGATTTATCATTAAGTTTTGGTAGGCTACAGAAATGCTGAAGCAAATAACTGAAACCAAGATTCCAATTCATATAGCTTGGTGGTAAAGGATTTTGAAGTGCAATAATAGTATAATTCTGCTTAAAACCTATTGTGTTGTCAATTACTGATAGAAATATAAGAAAGCATTTGCAAGTATCATACATCTCAATATGGCCACTTGATCTGCATTTGTGGACAAGCAAAATTTTACAGCAGTGTGTGTTTGTGATCAACTCCTCTATCTTGACATCTTGCCTGAAGCTACAAATAAATGTTCTATCCAGCCACAAATGCATGTTCTATCCAGCTACAAATGCATGTTCTATCAAGCCACAAATGCATGTTCTGTCAAGCTACAAATGCATGTTCTATCAAGCTACAAATGCAAGTTCTGTCAAGCTACAAATGCATGTTCTGTCAAGCTACAAATGCATGTTCTGTCAAGCTACAAATGCATGTTCTATCAAGCTACAAATGCATGTTCTGTCAAGCTACAAATGCATGTTCTATCAAGCTTTACAAATGCATGTTCTGTCATAGTATCAATGCATGTTCTGTCAAGGTACCAATGCATGTTCTATCAAGCTACAAATGCATGTTCTGTCAAGCTACAAATGCATGTTCTCATCAAGCTACAAATGCATGTTCTGTCAAGCTACAAATGCATGTTCTGTCAAGCTACAAATGCATGTTTTATCAAGCTACAAATGCATGTTCTGTCATAGTATCAATGCATGTTCTGTCAAGGTACCAATGCATGTTCTATCAAGCTACAAATGCATGTTCTGTCAAGGTACAAATGCATGTTCTGTCAAGGTATCAATGCATGTTCTGTCAAGCTACAAATGCATGTTCTATCAAGCTACAAATGCAAGTTCTGTCAAGCTACAAGTGCATGTTGTCAAGGTACAAATGCATGTTCTGTCAAGCTACAAATGCATGTTTTATCAAGCTACAAATGCATGTTCTGTCATAGTATCAATGCATGTTCTGTCAAGGTATCATCAATGCATGTTCTGTCAAGGTATCAATGCATGTTCTGTCAAGCTACAAATGCATGTTCTGTCATAGTATCAATGCATGTTCTGTCAAGGTACCAATGCATGTTCTATCAAGCTACAAATGCATGTTCTATCAAGCTACAAATGCAAGTTCTGTCAAGCTACAAGTGCATGTTGTCAAGGTACAAATGCATGTTCTGTCAAGCTACAAATGCATGTTTTATCAAGCTACAAATGCATGTTCTGTCATAGTATCAATGCATGTTCTGTCAAGGTACCAATGCATGTTCTGTCAAGGTACCAATGCATGTTTTATCAAGCTACAAATGCATGTTTTATCAAGCTACAAATGCATGTTCTGTCATAGTATCAATGCATGTTCTGTCAAGGTACCAATGCATGTTCTGTCAAGGTACCAATGCATGTTTTATCAAGCTACAAATGCATGTTCTGTCATAGTATCAATGCATGTTCTGTCAAGGTACCAATGCATGTTCTGTCAAGGTACCAATGCATGTTCTATCAAGCTACAAATGCATGTTCTGTCAAGGTACCAATGCATGTTCTGTCAAGGTACCAATGCATGTTCTGTCAAGGTATCAATGCATATTCTGTCAAGGTATCATCAATGCATGTTCTGTCAAGGTACCAATGCATGTTCTGTCAAGGTACCAATGCATGTTCTGTCAAGGTACCAATGCATGTTCTGTCAAGGTACCAATGCATGTTCTGTCAAGGTATCAATGCATGTTCTGTCAAGGTACCAATGCATGGTGTATCAATGTACCAATGCATGATCTATTAAGGTACTAATGCATGATCTATCAAGGTGCCAATCCATAATCTATCAATGTGCCAATGCATGTTCTGTCAAGGTACCAATACATGTTTTACCTAGGTACTAATGCAAAACCAAAAACAAGGATTTGAGTTCCATCATTAACTGTACATATATTTTAAATTCATAAAAAAACATTTACTTCTCATTAAATAGTTTTCCACTTTTTTTCTTAGACAGTATAACGAAATTGCTTCCTTTTTCTCATGACATTTAACAAGGGCCTACCTGCATCTCAGAGATCTTGTCATGATAAACCTAGCAAAGCAATCTGTCACCAAGCAGTCTCCACTATCAAAAATTTAACTGCCAGCATTTCAGAGATCAACATCCTCTAATGATTAAATATCTCAGAAAATGATCAGGTTGTTATTATGTTTCATTCCAATTGCTAACGGCAACCAGTTTTGATGAGTGTTCTGGAGCAGGCTAAAGTTTCAGTGCCGTTGCACACGATACCCTCTAAGCATGCCAAATATCAAAGTAGCACTGGCTTTGTCATCTCATTTCCAGCTGCGTAATAAAGATATTTCTATATTCAAAAAGCACATCATTAAAGGCAGTTTTTGTTACAACTATAGACAAAGAGACTAGAGCTCACCCATATTTAGAAGAATAATATAAAATCTGAAAGGGCACATTTGATAAAAAAAAAAATCAGTAAACTAAATACAAGAAGTTTCTAAACAACCGCCAACCTCACAGCATGTTCATTAAACTACACATGGCTGGTCTAGGTGTCTAAGGTGTTGCGATTCACTGGGCACAGTAAGGCCAAATAAAAAAATGTTGTGGTTCTGATTATATCTCTTTGAAATTTAGGGTAGGTAGGTAGGATTTTTTTAAAACCATTTTTTTTTAGAAGTAAAGTACAAACTAATAACACATTTATCAATGTATAATTGTTTATTCAAACAAGCTTGCAGCCATCATGTCGACTTTCTCTATCAGAGTGACCGATGTCCATTGGTGATGGGAAAAACAATGGTATCTGAAAGCTTATTTTATTCATACTGCCTAAAAAAGATAGGGTCGGCACCAGAATTCAAGGGTTGGTCGGGTAATCGGAACCACAACATTTTTTTTTAGGCCTAATGTCCCTTTGGTAAGACAAACCTAAGAACGTTGCTTCAAATTCCAGTTTTTCCAGTTTGTTGCTAAGTTTGTCAGCTCATGGATTTCACAAACGTAGAAAAAAAGTCCTGATCATTTCTTGTCTTCCAGGTTTTCAACATGGCTGACTCCCTTTCATGTTACTAGGATATGGTTCAATCTGCCTGAAAAACCCACCTCTGTCCCTCACTACAAATACATACACGCACAATGACAATAAACAGGCAATGGTGGTAAGTTCATCATGCCTGTTGTTGTTCGACTGTTACCCAGAGCAGAACCTGTACATAATCAACCATCAGTAGCAACCCAAACCATTGGGATAAGATCACCAGATCACCAGCCCTCATGGCAACCCAAATCATTGGGATAAGATCACCAGCCCTCATGGCAACCCAAATCATTGGGATAAGATCACCAGATCACCAGCCCTCATGGCAACCCAAATCATTGGGATAAGATCACCAGCCCTCATGGCAACCCAAATCATTGGGATAAGATCACCAGCCCTCATGGCAACCCAAATCATTGGGATAAGATCACCAGCCCTCATGGCAACCCAAATCATTGGGATAAGATCACCAGCCCTCATGGCAACCCAAATCATTGGGATAAGATCACTCAGCCCTCATGATCTTTGGGATAAGATCACCAGCCCTCATGGCAACCCAAATCATTGGGATAAGATCACCAGCCCTCATGGCAACCCAAATCATTGGGATAAGATCACCAGCCCTACATGGCAACCCAAATCATTGGGATAAGATCACTATGAAGCAATATTGTGAATAGTGAGTTAGAATGGTTTTTATGCCCCTTTTATCAATATTCAAGCAATATCACGCATGGACACCATAAATGGGCTTCAAAAAATTGTACCTACATGGGGAATCGAACCCGGGTCTTCGGCGTGATGAGCCAACGCTTTAACCACAAGGCTACCCCACCCTGATCTGACTAGCAAGGCAACAGAAACGCATTTGAGGACCTGCTCCTTCCACAATTTATTGACATATACAACACATCTATCTTTGGGCAAGCTTCATCGTCCCCGGAACCAAAGAACGGTAAGAGGATGCTGCTGAAAGGGCTTACACCCTTGCTACCTCAGGTAACAGTATTACCATCCATCATGACACAGTTAATACAACCATGACACAAAATACCATCATACAAATGTTCCACTTAGCAATTATCTCCCTGACGCATCTCCAGATAAAAAAGATCCTTCATATTAAATATGCTCTTTTTCTGAAAAGGGAACACAACTCCTGGTCAAGTCCTCGGCAAAATATTATGATTTTGTGACACTTGCTATACAATTGAAAATACAGATCCATAATTTACATTATTGTTTGGGACTTAGTTTCACCTTTCTTTGACAAGGGCTGACAACTCTTACTCCAGGACATACACATTTCTTGGTAGACAACTCTAAACACAATTCAGGGTAGACAACTCTAAACACAATTCAGGGTAGACAACTCTAAACACAATTCAGGGTAGACAACTCTAAACACAATTCAGGGTAGACAACTCTAAACACAATTCAGGGTAGACAACTCTAAACACAATTCAGGGTAGACAACTCTAAGCCTGCTTCAGGGTTGACAACTCTTATTACACTACTTGGTAGTCAACACTAACCATACTTCAGAGTCGACAAGTCAAACCACACTTCATATTTCTAACACTGGGAGATGAAAAAATTGCTGAAGTAAAAATCCCATACTGACTAATTATATGAACTTACACTGCTTTAGATGTGTCACTGATTACTATAGCTGGTCCAGCATGCAGGATCAAGAGGCTGTTACCAACAACACCAACATACATCATCTTCTCCTATCATGGTTATCATGATCATAATATAGGGTCGGAAACTATCCAGACTAATAACTGTGGAGGAGGAAGCCAATACAGCTATGTGCATGATGTGGGAATGTGACAGTAATGTACAAATGACCTGCTATGCCATAATAATGGGGTCAGCTTTGAAACAAATCGGCGATTATCTTACACCTAACACAACCCAGGCTACTAATCATGACAAAATGACAAACTTGTGAACTTGTCCCTGGACAATTAACCTGTAAAAATCAAGCACAGAATGTAGAAAAAGATTACTTGTCAAGATAAATGACCAAAAAATGTCAGTTCATACAGAAATTGCTGTTTCACTGACCATACGTCTTGTTTTAATACTGATGAACCCTTTATTATATATCCACAGCTTTGTGATCTGCCATAACCTCTCCAAGTATGTTTCTCAGTACTGTGCAATTACAACCCTTGCTACCATTTGATCATCTTTCCAGTTTCTTGACCAACCTCTTGGCATATTGACAAAGAAATTCTGTAAAATCCAAAATCAAACTGGCCTTGTCTTAAAATATAAATATAAAGTTTGGACAAAGCTCGCATCCTCTCAAAGACTTCCTTGGAAGTGTGGGAAGGTCACTGATGGACATATAAACTAATGAGAAAGAACACAAACTTCAGAGATTTCTGTGAAGCATTTGGAATACATCCTTTAAGGAGTGCTATAAAAAAGAAGGAAGTCAGACTTCAAGGCATTCAACAGAAGAGAAGGAACTCACCCTTCAAGGGGTTCAGTGGAAGAGAAGGAAATCACACTTTGAGGGGTTTGACGGAATAGAAGTGAAGGAACTCACCCTTCAAGAGGTTCAACGGAGGTGAAGAACTCACCCTTCAAGGCATTCATCAGAAGAGAAGGAACTCACCCTTCAAGGCATTCATCAGAAGAGAAGGAACTCACCCTTCAAGGGGTTCAATGGAAGAGAAGGAAATCACACTTTGAGGGGTTCAACAGAAGAGAAGGAACTCATCCTTCAAGGGGTCCAATGAAAGAGAAGGAACTCATCCTTCAAGGGGTCCAATGAAAGAGAAGGAACTCGAACTTCAAGAGGTTCAACGGAGGTGAAGAACTCACCCTTCAAGAGGTTCAACAGAAGAAGAACTCACCCTTCAAGGGGTTCAACAGAGGTGAAGGAACTCACCCTTCAAGAGGTTCAACGGAGGTGAAGAACTCACCCTTCAAGAGGTTCAATGGAAGAGAAGGAAATCACACTTTGAGGGGTTCAACAGAAGAGAAGGAACTCATCCTTCAAGGGGTCCAATGAAAGAAAAGGAACTCATCCTTCAAGGGGTCCAATGAAAGAGAAGGAACTCGAACTTCAAGAGGTTCAACGGAGGTGAAGAACTCACCTTTCAAGAGGTTCAATGGAAGTGAAGAACTCACCCTTCAAGGCGTTCATCAGAAGAGAAGGAACTCACCCTTCAAGGGGTTCAATGGAAGAGAAGGAAATCACACTTTGAGGGGTTCAACAGAAGAGAAGGAACTCACCCTTTAAGTGGTCCAATGAAAGAGAAGAAACACAACCGTAAACTACTTCACTAGAAGAACAAGAACACAACATTCAAGGAATTCCATGGATGAAAACAAACACAGTGAACAGGGAATTCAACAGAAGGACTTCACTTCAAGAGAATGAACCCAACCTTCAGAGTGGGTGGGTGAGTGAGTGAGTTAATTTTACACCACACTCAGCAATATTCCAGCTATATGTCAGCGGTCTGTAAATAATCAAGTCTGGACCAAACAATCCAGTGATCAACAGCATGAACATCGATCTACGCAATTGGGATACGATGACATGTGTCAACCAAGTCAGCGAGCCTGACCACCCGATCCTGTTAGTCACCTATTACGACAAGCAGGGGTTACTGAAAACCAGTTCAAACACAGTCCATCATGGTTCAACCTTCAGAGACTTTAATGGAGGAGAAATAATACAGCTTCCACAAAATCAGTTTTTGTTTGTCTGGTCAAAGCTGCAATCCCCCAAAATATCACAAATGTAGCCTCAACCCGTACATTATTCGTTTGCAGATCCGCATGTGTTATGCTGTGTTCACAACACAGTCATCACTGCTCCAGCTGTGTGATAGTGTCCGGTAAACTATCAAGTCCAGACCAAACAATCTATGTACGCATCTATCTATGCAACTAGGATACATTGACACGCATCAAAGTCATTGAATGTTCATTTGTTTGATAGGCGTTTAATGCCGCACTCAGAAATATTCCAACTATATGGCAGCAGTCTGTAAATAATCGGGCCTGGACCAGACAATCCAGTGATCAGTTTCATGACTATTGATCTACGCAACTGGGATACGATGACATGTGTGAACCAAGTCAGCGAACCTGGCCATCTGATCCCGTTAGTTGCCTCTTATTATAATTGCAGAAGACCAATTCTTGCCCAGGTCTTCGTGAACTTGCAAATATTACAGTCTGGACAGACAATCCACCGACTGATATAGCAAGGATGATCCCCCACTCTCCACAGAGTGACACGGAATAAACCAAGTTACCATGCCCTAACTGTAAGTTCTTACCATCAAGAACATCTCCAACTTCTCCCTTATCACACCTACTTCTTAAAAGAGGCCATTGAAGAATGCAGATGTTGCTAGGGGCCTAAACGAGAATCTGCATGGGTTTTCGAGCCATACCATAACGTAGCAGATATGCATCCACAGCAATGGTGTACGGTCTTAGAATCATTTACAGATGTATTTATCTGAAAACGTATTGTTTTATTGTTTATTGACCTGTTTACACAAGAGTAGCAATGTTGTGGTGCATATATGAAATGAAACAAGATTACTGATACTCCATTAAATTCCATTCAGTACTCTAAATGTTATGTTATTGTTTTCCAGTACTCCTATATAGAAAACATAAGAAGTATGTACTTCTCATCATGAAAAATTATCTGGAGCCCTGAGAGAGTGAATGATTGATGTAACTTGCATATATTTTCCATAAGTCGGAAATACTGCAGCTGTGTTGTTTGAATGCAGTGTGTTACCTACAATCCAGTGATTGATATAATGATCAACATCCCATGTCATATACAGGTTACAATGATGTCAAGTCACCCAAGGCACCCTTGGTGCCTGGGTGCCATTGTACAAAACAACCTTAGCCCTACGACTGTCGTAAGCCTCTGTTAAGGCATAGAAGTTACGATCACCTTAGCTCTAAAATCGCTTTGTATAATGGCACCCTGGTCCATTCATTTGGCATGCAATTGTACTCAATTGTAATAACAGAATTGAAAATCGATTATATCCATATGAGCCGTCCATTTGCTTATCCATATGAACTGTCCTTGTTCAGAGCACAGACTTCTAACACCACTTGAAGAAGCATATATTGGAGGGGATCTGTTCTAACCCAGAAATCCACATGGATTTCAAGTCATACCACATTCGCCTGTACTAAATCCTAGTGATCGATAGCATAAGCATTGAACCATACTGTTAGACAATGACAGTTCTAAACAGTAAACCAACTAGGTCTGACATTGTGTCCAACCAATCCTCATATTGCTCTACATATGCACAAAATACAAGGGGCCCCCATCCAGTCAGCTTTCCCAGCTTTACAAAAACCTAATAGTAAGCACTGAACAAAAATCAAAAGGTCTTATCTCTGAGTATGAACATTCCCAAGTTAGGTGAGTGAGTGAATAAGTTTAGTTTTATGTCACTTTTAGCAATATTCCAGCAACATCACGGCGGGGGACACCAGAAATGGGCTTCACACATTGTACCCATGTGGGGAATCGAACCCGGGTCTTCAGCATTGTGCTTTGTCGAGCTTGAAAGCTGGAGTGAGGATTTTATATTCTACCTGTTTAACCACTAGGCTACCCCACCGCCCCTGTTTCCAGTTAAAACTGATAAAGGATATGTTTTACAGCATTTATCAAATGACAGAATTTCTGCTAAGACTGGCAAAAATATATCATTCAATATGACAAATCAGTGGTGAGAAATGTCAAAACTACATGATTTCTCTGACATGTCAGTATATTGTTAAATTTTGCAACATGTTAACTGATTAAAATATGACACATTTCAATGATAGGCTGCTGCCTGACAACTAATCATCAAATTACAAAATCTTACAAACAGAATTACCATGATTTTAGTAATGAAATGTCTGCAAATCCACTGAAGGCTTACTCAAGATAATGTTTTACCAGTGAACTAAATTTCACCAAAATGATTGATAATTGGAAATATCATCCATGAGAAAATTGATATGACAATCATCCATAATATCATACATAACTATTGAGATCAAATAAAGTTTAATTTACATGCACAATACACAAAGTTACGTCCTAATACATGGGCCACTTCTTATGTTCAGGATGCTCTTTTTGTTGGTGAGTCAGTGTGGTTTTACGCCGCTTTTAGCAATATTCCACCAATATCACGGCGAGGACACCACAAATGGGCTTCACACATTGTGCCCACGTTGGGAATCGAACCCGGGTCTTCGGCATGATGAGCGACCGCTTTAACCACTAGGCTACCCCACGCACCCCTTTTGGTTAGTAAATCCATGCACATTTGTGTCAGCGCTCAAACTGATATAAAACATGATGATTTCTTTATCACATTTGTTGGTATGTTTCCTATACGCTTCTCAGATATTTAATCAATCAATATTTAGCTAATGATTATTGTTCTCTATAACCTATATCAATAGCCAGCTTTAGAGCAAATTCATAATTTAATTTAATAGTATTCAAGAATACACATCTCCATGATGTGGAACTCAAGATGAGTTGTGGATCGGTACAATGACATAAACTTCGATTTGAGAAAGCCAGTGTTACCTCGTAGGCGTCGTCTCCTGTCACAGTTAGGTACTTCTTGTCCCGGTAATAGGTCCTTGCTTTCAGGAAGTATAGAACAACCACATCACAGACAATTGTGGCCTGAAAAAGACGACGATTCTTAAAAAAAACATCCACCATTTTCAAATCTATGTGAATCAGTGAGAACGATGTCACATCTTACACAGTCCAATCAAAACAATCAATCTGTTTCAAATACAAACAAAATAGAATGATCTACTTTTATTGAGAAGTGAGTGAGTTTACGCCGCCTTTAGCAATATTCCAGCAATATGGTGGGGGAGACCAGAAATGGGCTTCACACATTGTACCCATGTGGGGAATTGACGTCTTCAGCGTGACGAGTGAACCACTAGGCTAACACACTTTTATTGAGAAACTATCCTCAAACGTGAAACACTATGCATAGTTATCCTCAGTTTACACTGGTTGCACAGATATACGCACTCATCGAAGCCCTTGAGATATGGTTGGTTTGGTGTCTAAACAGGAATTCTTAGCTGTCTCAAGATATAGTAGAATATCTATGCAAAACAGTATGAAGAGTGCACCAAAAAGCTTGCATAATTTCAGAATAAGCACATTTGCTTACAAACAAGAAAAGCTTCTAGTCACGTGATATGCAAATTGTCCTGTGGCAGTGATGTTGTGCGAAGTCATGCTTGGGTGTGTGAGAATGCTTATTGCAATATTCCAGCAATTTCCTGGCGAGAAGACCGGGAATCGATAGGTATCATTGTATACAAATACATGAATTCTACCTACATTACATCTCCAGGAAACCAGCAATAGGTATCACTGTATACATATACAAGAATTTTACCTCTACTACAGTTTGGGCTGTAATAAAACTATTTCAAATTTTTCAGCAGACGTCCTCTTCACTGCGTGACACCCCCTTAAACACTACAGTTGTTACACCCCAAAAACGTACACAAGCCTAAGCCTTTTAAAAAAGAAAAGAAATAAACAAGCGTAACCACCTTTTAAACTGTTTACACTAACATCATTTGCAGGCATAGAGATAGTTGTTGGAAGTATACTTACGATAGACAGCAGTGCCAGGCCACTGCCAATGTTCAGTAAAAGAGGCACAACGTTGAACTTGCCAGCCCGCCCCTGCACGGTGAGGATGAACCTGATACCATAGGCTTTCACCAAGGTCCGCTTTCTCACATTCTCCTCCATATAATGTTCAGCATACCTGGAAACACAGAAGGCAACTTATACATAGCATGCTCAGTAATATCACAGCTGTGTCACATGCTGTATTTGGGACTGCACTTTTCTCTGTTACAGATTCTATTGCTTTTATTGGTACAGTCCAATCTGGGATTCGAACCCACACTCTCAGAACCCGGCAACTAATCGCCAACACATAAAGTTAGTGATCCAACACACTCTGTCACCATGGCATCCACCAAAAATTTAAAGTCTGACAACTGTTAGTCTATAAATAGCCATCAGCTGCGCACACACATTTTGCTCCAATCCAAACTTGATTCAGTTAAAAATGATAAGGGGGCGGAGGGGTAGCCTAGTGGTTACAGCGTTGTCTCGTCACGCCGAAGGCCCGGGTTCGATTCCCCACATGGGCACAATGTGTTAAGCCCATTTCTGGTGTCCCCCGCCGTGATATTGCTGGAAAATTGCTAAAAGCGGCGTAAAACTAAACTCAGTCAGTCAGTCAGTAAAAATGATAAGATTTATAACTTCAAAGAATTTTGATTCCATGATCAGAAGAAATTTAAGCAATTATTTTGACAGGGAAAATATATCCAACTATCATGTTGTCATACTGCATTTTTCAACGTATATATATACGTACCCACGTACAATCCAGTGATCAACATCATGAGCATCAATCTATACTAGTGGGATATGATGGCATTTGTCAATTGCGTCACTTCACAGAAGTAAACATATATCTATTGCTATAAAAGCATTAACCATCATGCACTTTAATATTGATTTCCACAAATTTCAATATTAGTTCAACCAACTGATAATCCATAAAAATTATGTCCAATAAGGATATTCAGTTAGTGTAGCTTGACTGTCATCATAAACAATGAATTTGTAAAGAAGGAAAGTCCTGACTAAGCTGCCATGTTTAAGACCATATCCTGAATTTTGCCACACTGTCTCAAATGACCTTGTTCATAACTCAGATTGGAAAAGATGTTCTCCATAAACCTGGCAACATTATATTGATAGTTTCTGTCCTATGATGAATGTCAAGGAAATAATGGTGCCCAATTATGGTGAAATTGTAGGAATAATCAATCTTGGCTTCTTAAATGGAAAGTCATAAAGGCCATTAAGCAGAGCATTCTGACACTCAAACCTTGCCCCAAATGGGACATACTTCTAGCAAGATATTTATTCGAATGGAATCCTGTTTCATCTGAGGCCATAATTATTAATGCGTTCAGATTACCGTTATTTTGTGTGAAAAATTTTGGTTTGTAGGTCAGGAGTAAATGAAATACAAATTTCTGAATACTTTCTTTCGCTCTTTAAACATACTTTTCATTATTATGATGATTTTATTTTAAATATTATTGGAAAATGTTATAATGTATGTAGTACTGGTAAGATCTTCTATATGTATGTAAACTATGTAAACCATTTTTCTATTTTAATTAAAATACTCTCATTAAAAATGTATAGTTCAGTTATCACTATAATTAACTTCAGTTATTCATATAACATAACATTATCTGGGCAAGAATAAAATGACATCAAGCCTTTATCCGTCCATTCAGATGCATTGCAAATTCAATACGTTTCTAGACTCGTATGCCTAGTGAGTTGTGTGGTAAGTATCATCTAAATCATACACAAGATATATGTTTTGGTGATTGAAATGAGTAGTAACAGCAATCACCTTCATTGCTACATAGTGTCATCTTACTTCATGGTCAATCCTTGTGGATGTTAGCATAGTTATTTATTATCAGTTTCTCAAACTAGTGGTTTCTCTGACAATAATGGCCAAACACTTCCCCTGCTGGCTGTATATGTCAAAGAAACAGGTTATCGATATTTATTGTCTACCTTAACAATGTTAGTGAGGATGTAAACCTACCAATGGTTCTGACAATTTGTCGTGACAACTGTCACAAATAATCATAAATCCATCTATAATGGCTGTTCATCATAATTTTATCCGAAAACAATTTTGCATCCAGATCAAGCGTGGTGATATATATCTGAATAATTTCAAAATTAGCCTGAGAGTGAGTGAGTGAGTGTTTGTTTTTTAACGCTATGTTCAGCAATATTCTAGCCATATAGCTCCAGTCTGAAAATAATCAAGCCAGGACCAGACAATCCAGTGATCAACGACATCTACATCAATCTATGCAACTGGGATACGATGACATCTGCCAAACAAGTCAGCCACCTGACCACCCGGTCCCGTTAGTCGTCTCTTACGACAAGCCTGGGTTGCTGAAGACCAATTCTTACCTGGATCTTCATGGATAGAGTGTGAGTGAGTGAGTGAGTGATCCTCATGGATAGAGTGAGTGAGTGAGCACATTGAGTGAGATAATGATTAAGAGCCACTTTGAACAGATCTTTAGCTAAATCACGACAGGTCATCTGTGAGGAAGGTTGGATGTTATGAGTTCACCACTTTTATAGTACAGACAAACTTACAAATATTATCAACAAGTTAAATGGACACTCTGAGCATCCTTTTCTGACTTTTCCCAACAGTAGAAAAGACGAGAATAAGACCCAGATGAATTGCTCCTGGAGCACGCTAGCCATCTATCTGCGTCTGTGGTAGACATCAGTTGCTGTGTACAAAGACCTGCTATTAATCTGACTGTATGACATATATGTGCTCTTGTCAGATTTCCCCCCAGTTCACCCCTAGATCTTTATACTGTTTGACATAGTACATGCATCTGGAATTTGTTATGTGTAAAGAGTTGAATCAAATAAATGGTGATCAATGAAAAAAGACCCTTGCATCATTAATCAGTTTTAAAAGGTTTCAGCATTTGAATTCAACCTTGTCTACTGAACAAGATGAAAGAACAGAATTTTTGACAATATCCAAATATATGAAACATTTTTATTGCTGAGTTGATTACAAATGTTTTACATAAAACATACATGAAATAGCAGATGGTGTCAATAGTCTCAATACATAATCAGTTTTAATTAAACACTGGGAACAGATGGCTAACACACATTCTCTGATACACAAAACATATATGCACTGCATGGACTAAGTAATCTATCTTCCATAGGGAACGTGAAGAATTTAAGTTTAGTCCTGTGCAATCTTGAAGATTCTGTCTACACATCGTGAATTGTCATTGTCACACACTAGACAACTCAAATTTTGGTGTCACCGATTCCATCAATGACAGCATCAACCTAGCCTATCCTTGGACATGTCAAAACAGTCTCACAACACAGCAAGTTAGCCCAGAATTTCCACTTGGACCCATCTCCTTTCAAAACAATTTCAGGACATTCTTTAAAAGCTAACCCAGCAGCCCCTGGTCTGTTCAGTCTCATGATATACTTCTAGCAAACCCAACTAGTCCAGCAAGTCATCAAGGATGTTTTGCCACTTCAACACTTCAGACAGGGCTATCTTCTTGTCAGGTTCATGCTCGTACATATTCTGATACACACATCTGTAGAGCACCTGCCTCAATACAGTTTTGGGTACAGACTTCACGCTTAATCTCACCGTGAGCATCGACTCCAGATCTATTTGATACTCTGGCTTCCCCCTGATGGTTTCATACACACAGAATCCATCCGGGCCATCTTCATCATCAATCCGCCAAGATTTGCCTCCTTTCTGGTACCGGAAACCCTTGACAATGAAGGCACTGGATGTCTGTGCTAGCACTCCAGCTGTGACCGAATCATCAAAGAGTGGGGACCTACCACAACTGGAATTCTCTGTTAATGTGTAGAAGATAGGGGTGGCTATGTTGGTCTTCTCCTCGGATGATGGACTGAAGATAGGAGTCAAAACATTGATCTTGTGGATCTTTTCTCTGCTTGAGGTAGTTGGATTTGGGGTCGATTCTTCTGATGACGTAGAAAGGTCGGTCAGGAGGCTCTTCTCAGGTGATGGAGATGGAGAGGGAGATGGGATGATTCTCAAGGTTTCATCAACATTTGAGGTAGCAACTATTTTCTGTAGCATGTTAAAGGTGTCCTTTGCCACTTCACTTGGCGAAGTGAATCCAGGAAAAGACTTTGCACTGAACCGAAATACATTATTGACTGGTGACATCTCGAAGCTCTGATGCTGAGTGATCTTCTCTACATTGTTCCTCGGTTTCCGGTTCCTGGTTCTTGGTTTGGGTCCGGACCTAAACACCTTGCACTTTGGTGTCTGAGTACTGACATGGAACCCCTGATGACGGTCTGTCTGTGTGTCCCTGGACTCCTGTTGACACAGGTCTCTTTGAGTGGTGACCTGAGTGCCTTGTTCCATATGAGCTGGACTACTGCGGCAATTATCAGTGGACTCAGTTTGTGACCAGCCATCTTGGAGACATGTAGTGTCTGTCTGGGTATTAGCTGCTTCCGTGACTTCTGGTAAATCATTTTGCATGGTACCAACATGAGGGGGTACAGAGGTGGTGTCTGTCTGACAAGCACACTCAGTAAGGGTCTGACTGGAATCTGTCTGAACTGATATAGTTTCACCTTGAGGATTAACTAAGTTATCAGTTTGAGAGGCAATGTCACTGAGGGTCTGACTGGAATCTGTCTGAACTGATATAGTTTCACCTTGAGGGTGAACTAAATTATCAGTTTGAGAGGCAATGTCACTGAGGGTCTGACTGGAATTTGTCTGAACTGATATAGTTTCACCTTGAGGGTGAACTAAATTATCAGTTTGAGAGGCAATGTCACTATGGGCTTGACTGGAATCTGTCTGAACTGATACAGTTTCACCTTGAGGATGAACTAAAATATTAGTTTGAGAGGCAATGTCACTGAGGGTCTGATTGGAATCTGTCTGAACTGCTATAGTTTCACCCTGAGCATGAACTAAATTATCAGTTTGAGAGGCAAAGTCGCTATGGGCTTCACTGGAATCTGTCTGAACTGAAATAGCTTCACCTTCACAATGGACTACATTATCAGTTTGAGAGGCAATGTCACTGAGGGTCTGACTGGAATCTGTCTGAACTGAAATAGCTTCACCTT